TTTTTTTTTTTTTTTTTTTAAAAAGGTGAACAGAGCTCTATACAGAGAAGCTGAAAGGAGAACAGCTGACAGGCGGGAGGTAAGAGCGTCTCCGCTTTCACTCCCGATAGTTCTTGTTTGTCCTTCCTCTCTTGAAAGAAAAAAAATTTTTTTTTAAAACTTTATGGGGAGAAGAGGGGAGAGGGAGGAAAAGGAGATTTATATTTATATAGTGAGAACTAGAAGCAGTCTAGTTCTGTGAAGAGAGGAGCGCGGTTACAGGCATCTTCAGCCTGAGGCGGTGAAGAGGAACTGGCCGAGGGGCCGGACCGCACGACAGAAAGAGCGCGAAAGCCGCGAGCCTGTGGCACATGCATGGTCCGGCCCGACACTGCTAATGACAAGTCTCTGTCTGCGGCGCCGGGGCAAGCCCAGCACCCATAGTGGAGAACCCACGGGGACATCCCCGAAGAAGAACCAACTATATTACTGTTGTATTGTATTATTGTTGTATAATATTTACAATGTGCATAACTTTGCTAAACTGTTTAACCAATACACAGGTTAAAAAAAAAACAATCTCAAATGGATGGCAGAAAGCAACATAAAAAAAAGGGGGAAAAAAATTGGTTAACAAAAGTTAAGTTACATCGCAACTACATATTTGGTAAACAAATTCTCTGTTAGTACCAGTCATTACTTGGATCAGTGACACTGCATCCTAACCGAGGCACATGTCATTCAAAACAATCTCATTCAGTGTCTGGATACCAATGATAAATCCTGACACAGCAATATTTGATAAATTGATTACTGTCCACTCAGTACATGATCTGAAAGATAGCGTTCATAAGAAACAACTTCATCGATGTCATCTACCAGTGTATCACAGAGCACTGCAACCAATGGAACAGAGAAGTTAACTGTTCCCGTTTGCTCCCCAGAAAAGCATGTAACAGAGGGTAAAAACCATAGTAAGGGTAACCCATAACACAAATGGATAGTACTGAGAAGTAATTAATTACAAGACAGTTATATATCAAGGCCTCATTTGTAATGTCACTACTCCAAATGTGTTTTACTTCTTATATACAGAATCTTGTGGGACACACCGTAACAATTCCTATCCCAGTATTTCAAAACACTCAGCCCACTACCAATAATAATACAGATAATAACTATAATTGCCCTAATAGGAGTGTGTGCTATCTGCAGTACCATAAGGGCCAAATCACAATACCAAATTGGAAAATAAATTGTTATAAGGTTGTATCATATGTACACATACACACTATATGCCCATATACTCTACAAATATATACATTATATCTACTCATAGATAGTAATGTGCTTCTAAGACTCAATCATAAAAATACATTCTTCAGTCATGGTCCCATGCCTAACATTCCCAGGCCCACCATAAGGGATTAAACATAATTGGGAAATAAAAACTGCCCATCAGTCATACGAGGGAATGTGCAGACTAAGGGACAGATGGGGCATGAATGTGAACGGCAAAGTAAGATGTCCACATAACATTAGCCCACTGGATCACCTTCAGTCCATGCATTATGCTTTTCCGGGACGATGGATAAACATCCTTCCCAGAAAAAAAAAAAAGTGTGGGAATGTAGTAAGATGAAGGCCTAAAGCAATAAGCACATGTAGCACAGGGGCCGAGCTAAAAAAGGACAAAACATGGCTAACATAAAGCAAAGCTAAGCTGCGAGCAAAATGCAGGCCCCTTATGTTTTAGGCCTTCATCATAATACAATGTGCTCTCCTTTGTAAACTGAGGAAAAGCACAGTATGAGAGCTAGGCATTGCTATATACAGGGCTCGCCGAACTGCGGCGAGCCCCGCTCGCCAGCCACGCTGTCCGCCAATCTGCGCATGCGCAGATCTCCCAAATCCGGCTCTTCCAGGTTACAATATACTCGCCATGGGCGAATAAACTGGATGCAGTAAAAAATAATTTTTAAAATATAGAAAAGATATTTGTTAGCAACTGGTGGGTATCACGGTAGCACATATCCGAACAAACACGCATGACCTCTATATTGGTGCACAAGACAAAACTCGCTGCTCTCACTAGGGTTGCCAGATGGCTGAAAGAAAAATACCGAAACCCCTCTCACCCCGCAAAAAGAAAAAAAACACCGAGAAAAAATGTTATTGAAGAAAAAAAAAGGGGGGGGGGCAGCCAAAGTTGTTGAGCAACCCCACCCCTCTCCCCACCCACA